ACTGGAAATGCAGGGAATCCAGGGCACATGATCCCTTCAGGGCCAGTGGTGTGAGTGACGATACTGGGAGGGTGGGTTGGAAAGAGGGATCCGATGATAAGGATCTACATGTGACTTCCTCCCTGGAGGACGGACATGAGAAAAGTGGGTGAAGGGAGACCTCGGACAGGGCAAGATATGACAAAATAATAATTTATAAACTATCAAGAGTTCATGAGGGAGGGGGGAGCAGATAGGGAGGGGAAAAATGAGGAGCTGATGCCAGGGGCTTATGTGGAGAGCAAATGCTTTGAGAACGATGAGGGCAACGAACGTACAAGTGTGCTTTACACAACTGATGTATGTATGGATTGTGATGAGAGTTATACGAGCCCCTAATAAAATGATTAGCAAAAAAGGAATATTATTCTTTCTGTTAAGACGATTTATTCTTTTCTAAGGAACATAGATATCGACACTTACTCAGTCCTCTTTATTTGTTCATTATGCTTTGTTGTGGGGCAGACCACTTCAGATTCATTTTCTGACTTCCCTCAAGCATCATGGGGAGAAAGTCACCTTATGCCTGCATCGAAGACTCAGGAAGCATGCCCTGCTTCTTGTCTTTCATCTGTCCCAGCCTCCCAAGCCCCCCAAATCCCCATCCTTTTCACCTGCCTTCCGTTGTCCATCTACAACTTTGTGCCCAATGTATTTATGCTGAGATCTCACCCACAAATGGGAAAAGCTTTCTGCGGTCACCGATCACCATACTGGTGATACTGGTGATATGGGCCCCACCATACTGGGGCCTCTAGTAAATTGTTCTGGGTGTATGCTCAATATATAACGTTTTATATTGCCCCATATTAGCAGCATGGTTCTATCTACTGACGACCTATCTCAGACCCATATTACGAATATGGGGCAATATAAGAAAATTTCCTCAATTATAAATTGAGTATTGCAATACTTGAAAGATTATCTAAATCACTAGATAGCTATAAGGGTGATAAGTAATAATATATTCAAAATAATTTAGAAAACATTTATGATATTAAAAAGTATGATGAAAGTGGTTGATGTTTTGTTAAACATATATAAACAATTTTGTTTCCCAGTCAGATTACAGAGGGGAAGGACCATGTCTCGGTGTTCACAGCATTTTACAGGATATTCACAGCTTTTCCAGGGTAGTAGCTGTCTGTTACTGACTTGGTTCAGACTTAGTCTAACAAAATGATGTCTAATGGAATGAAACACTGCCCAGCTCCGTGTCATCAACAACCGTTGTCATGTTGAAGCCCATTGTGGCAGCCACTCCGTCAATAGATCTAATTACAGGTCTTCCTCCTTTTGGCTGCCCCTCTTCTTTACTAAGCATGTCTGAAACTTTACATGTTGCCAGATCCTAAAGACGGACTCAGTAAATAATTCTATCTTATGATTAAAAGCAAAGCAAAACATAACAACAACAACACAAGGCCTACAAGAAGGAAGAGGTTTCAGAAATGGTATGGTTTGGAGAAAATGAGTTTATTAGACCTTACTGGTGAACTTATTTCATTTTATATATAACTTTATAATTCAGTTTTGATCATTATAGTAATAGCTTTCTCTCACTGGACTCCCCTTACAGCAAACTTTTACACCTTTATATTAATGTGAAACAAAGTTATATTCCTAGAACTTTTCTGCCATTTCCCTTTTATTGTAGCTGCTGTGCTGAAAATGAGTGTTTCGCTGGGAACCGCGTGGAGGGGTAAGGGGAGAGTAAGGGAAATGTTATATAATTAGCCAACATTTGACTCTAGAGCAAAGGATCAGCAACATGCCAAGATGACAGTAATAACCACTGTCATGCCAGATACTAACCAGAAGCTTTCCACATACTGTTCCCAACCTCAAATTAAAGGTGAACCAGAAAGACTTCTGCCAAGTTCAGGTTTTTAGTTTTCCTCAATCCTTTCTGGTAATCTTGATGTCGGCGTTTAGAACTTTTTTCCCCACCATGTCTGCAGTGCAGAATTAGAGCTCTCCTGCAAGGCGTTGGCTGTTCACAGAAAAGAAGCTTTTGTTTAGAATGATCATTTCCGGGTAACTCGTAAGCATTCCATGGATTTGATCTTGAGCATGTGTTTCAAAAAAAGCTGAAGGACTTGACAAGGAACATACTTGCACTGAAGATCCTCTAAATCAGCGGTTCTCAACCTGTGGGTCACGACCACATTGGGGGTCAAACGACCCTTTCACAGGGGTCGCCTGATTCATAACAGTTGCAAAATTACAGTTAAGAAGTAGCAACAAAAATAATTTTATGGTTGGGGGTGGTCACCACAACATCAGGAACTGTATGAAAGGTTCCCCCCTTAGGAAGGTTGAGAACCACTGCTCTAAACGTTCTGGTTCACTTGTGTAACATGGGGTCTGATGGCAGCTTTATATAACAGATTGGCCTTGAAGTTTCCTTGATAAGATCATTTTAAAATGCTACAGTTTTTCCTTTAGTTGTTTATTTAACAGAATGAACTTCTAAGGTCCAGCACCATTCATGTCTCCTTTAGACCCAGCAGACATTAAAGACCCCACTAGTCCAGGCACAGATTCTGAAAGGAGGTCCACTAGTCCAGGCACCGATTCTGAAAGGCGGCCCACAACCCAGGCACAGATTCTGAAAGGAGGTCCACAATCCAGGCACAGATTCTGAAAGGAGGTCCATGGGTCTTAGTACAAAATCTGCAGTTTGTTCAGCACTTTGTTCCACCTCATTTAGTTTTGCTGAAACCTATAGAACCCATTTAAATGGGTAAGATAGGTCGCTTTATTAATTATTTTTCTCTCTCTTGTTCTTTCTCTTCCCCCTACCCCCCTAGACCGATGAACTGAGGTGAAGCTAGAAAGCGACAGAATCAAATTCCAAACCCAGTCATCTGACTCCCCTTCCTATGAGTCTGGGTTCTCAGCCTTGGTTCTACTATCGTTGGGCCTGGGCTTCCTGGAGTGGGGTTGGGGGAGGCTGTGTTGTGTACCATGGGACATTCAGTTGTATCCCTGAATTTTACTCAATAGATAGCAATTGCAACCCTTGGCCCCCACACTTGTGACAACCAAAAATGTTTCTGGACATTGCCAAATGTTCCCTAAGGGGGGCAAATGATCCCTGGCTGTCAATCACTATAAGCTTTCCACCACGCCAAGTCACCTGTAAGTAATAACTAACTCCATTCCTGGAAAGACCAACAGGGTTTCATATTGGTGCTGTGTTACAGACCCAGTGACTAGATGTGTCTTCAGACGCCAGCTGGGTTTTCTCCAGCAAGAGGACTGCAGGCCAGCCCCTCCTATGCTAAGAGTTCCTCAGGCTCCTGACTGCAGCAGGACATCATTGCATCGGCTTGGCTTTCTCTTGGCTCAGCCACAGACCGTGCGCATATTAAAGAACGGTGGTGGTCAGTCGGTGCTTCTCAGCAGTTTGGGGGCTGCTCTTATGGTTCTCATCTGACTATTCAAACAGTTCAACCACTCAGTCTTCCATGAGTACCAGTTGTTGGTGTTGGGTGCCATAGTCGATTCTGACCCTCGGGGACCGCTTGAGTGGAACTGCTTATCAGGTGTTCTCGGCTCTACTCTTACTGGAAGCAGATGACCACACCGTCTCTGCTGTGGCATCGTGCTTGGCAGGCTCCAACTGTCAACCTTTACGTTGACCACAGATGCAATCATTTTCTTCTTTGTGTTCCACCTTGTTTCCTGTGCTTACGTACAAGTGTTCCCTTCTGAACCAAATGATACATTCCTTGAAGGCAGGGAGCTGACAATGTTTTAGACAGCACTGTGAAGGGCCCGGAGCTAGGCTATGGGGTACAGCGATAGACATGAGCCACCTCATTGCATCTACCTACCTTCAGCTCATTGCATGCGCTGGGGGAAGGGAAGGTGAAAAAAATCCACATGCATAATTATATACTTAGAAGCTGTGATAAACACCACGGAGAAAAAGCATCGTGTGCTATGAGACGTGATGAGGCTTCACAGGAGAAGCAAATGCCCCTCAGTTGAGAGACAAAGGATAAAACAAAAACGAACAGGCAAATATGCAAAGTCTGAAAAAGGCCTAGCACCTTAAAAGAATAGAAAGAAAGGTTGGTCTCAGTAAACCACACAAGATGGACGATGAGCTACGTCAGGTGGGGCTACTGAAGGAGGAGCCAGGTATAGGTTTTCAACAAAGCACCATCATCAGGACGTTCTTGTTAAGCGCTAGTAACATTTAGGTGGTCTTTCGGAGTCAAAATGAAGGAAAGCAGAGGCCATTTCTGAATGTTTGGTATCTGTATATTTAGAGTTTTTCCCAAAAATTCTGATCATCTAAAGCTTAAAAGAAGTCAGGCTTATGAAAGGTATCCGGATGCTCACCTTACATATGCCGACGCCACCAGGGAGGCTACGGGAACAAAATGGCCCTGAAGCGTTCTTTGTGACATGAAGGAGAGGATCTGTTGCTGCCAGGCCTAGATGTCTGTCTGTTTTCTGAAGCTCCTTAGAAAAGGTGTTCAGCCAGTGACAAGTGTGGTAGGGTGTGGTCCCCTCCATGTTACGAGTAGATGCCGAAATGCTTTACAGGGCCACCTAACAGAGGTGATGTTATTTCAGTCATTACTAGTGTGTGCAGGATTCCGACCAGTGACCCCAGTGGTGAGAGGTTCTATATCCAATTACAAATTCTCACTTTCCTTAAGTGTAAGATGCCTAAAGCAATATATTTTATTTACACCAAGATGCACTGTATAAAGTATATTTGATAGAATAAATGACTTCACGTTCTCAACTTAAATCAAAGAGTGCTTACTTAAGTATTTTTTTAATTGAATCAGACTTTAATGCCATCGTATAATCTTTTGGTTAACAGTGCTCATCTTGATTATTCTAACAAAGGGAATCATGGAAATTAATACGCAAGTTGGAGCGTTTATGCCATCTAGAAAACTACTCAGTAGGAAGAGGAAGTTCAGAAGTGATACCTGGGACATCTGTGAAGGTTTCTCCAAGGACTGAGACGTGGAAATTGAGTCCAAGCTCCTTGAGCTGCAGCAGCACCTTAAAAAAACTCTCTGGATCTTTATCGTGCTCCCTAGAAATAAGCAGACAGAATATATCTTGCATTACCTTACGGTATGTTTCAGGAAAAGAGCTTCGGTTTCTCACAGCATCAAGTTCCTTCTGTGGTCTAATGCTGGTTGGATGAGCTCTGGTATCCCAGCAGAGCTCTCTCCGGAGAAGTCCCAGCAGCAGTGGGTGGTTTCGGGTCTACACACTTCTTTCTCAATGAGTCGTACTGAAGTTGTAAGGCTCTGCAGCCTTCTATTAAAGGAGAAATCTGTCTTGTTTTCACATTTTAACATTCGATTACATAAAGTGTAGTGCATTTCCCCTTTCCCTCAAAGGTTAATTTTCCACTTATTGCAGGTTTCTTGTTTTTGAAAAAAGGCCAATCTTGGAAGGTCCACGCTCCTGTTGATCAAGAGAATGTTCCAAAGGTGCTTCCCATTGTGCCCCAAAGGAACTCCTAATTCAGAACGTGGGATTACACACCTTTCCCCTAACCTCACATTTAAAATAAGTGAATGGGGAATTAGAAAGATATCAGAATGGGCGGAACCTGAGTCTTTGTACCCTGATTATTGACTTAGGAGTGGTCAGCATCTACCATAGGAATGGATGATAATAAAGATAATTGTTTCATTTAATAAAGCCTTTGAAAAAATGGATCATTTTTTGTTTGTTTAGCTTGTCAGTCTTCTTTGTAATGACAGAATGAGAAGCTGAAGAACAGTATTTTTTTTTAAAAGGATCCAATTCAATAAATCACATTAAAATGGAATGAGTTATTTTTTACATTGTAAGGTGTGAATATTTCAGTATTTCTTGCATTTAATTACACTGTTTTAAATTATCTTATTTCAAACAGATGTGGACCAGATGTCTTCAAAATATTTGTTTTTTTATTTATAATTCAGTATTTTAACTTATTTTTTCTCCTACAGAAAAAGTTATATATTAGCAATTGAATCTCTCATTTACTAATTATGTAAAATAAATCTGTAAATTGATCAAACTGCTATATGAAATATGAAAATTACATCATTCAGGAAATCTCATGAAAAATGACATCTGCAACCCTAAATGTGTTAATTCACAATTCAGTCAATATTTTCAGTATCAAGAATTAAAACAAATGCATCTTCTAATTAACATTTTAAATGGCATTTATAATCTTATGAAATTGTAAGATCTTATAGAATCAGAAGTTGTAAAAAACCATAATTTATTTCAGGCTCTCCCCCTCTTACAGTCTAATAACAAAAAAGACAAAATGTTCATATCTTTTTAAGATGATAACATACATATACCATTGGCAAGGTTTGGAATTGTTCTTCCATATACACTGCTAAGGCTAAGAACAAAGATTCAAAACGTTTTGAAAATAAAGTATACGCCACATACTATCTTTATCAAATAAATGCCATCTACACATAAAAATGTTCTTTTCTTCTGATTCTTTTTTTCAGCGCTTCTCAACCTGTGAGTCGTGACCCCTTTGGGAGCTGAATGACCCTTTCACAGGGGTCGACTAAGACCATGGGAAATCTTTTCCCATGGTCTTAGGAACCGAGACACTGCTCCTTTATCTGTCTCCAGATGGGTCCGCCCACATGCAGACACGCCCACAGATGAAGGCCCATGCTACACCATGCTTCAAGACAAAATTTCATTTATTTGTAATTATAAATAAATATTTCACAATATATAATTGCATATTGTTTTTGTGAATAACCACTATTCTTTAATTATGTTCAATTTGTAACAATGAAAATACATCCGGCATATCAGATTTTTACATGATGATTCATAACAGTAGCAAAATTACAGTTATGAAGTAGCAACGAAAATAATTTTATGGTTGGGGGTCACCACAACATGAGGAGCTGGATTAAAGGGTCACAGCATTAGGAAGGTTGAGAACCACTGACTTAGATGAAAGAACAAAACAATAGAATATATATTAAAGAGGTACAACACTATCGGGAAATCTCACCTCTCGGTTCTCTAAATCAGGTATCTTCAACCTACGGCCCGCGGGCCACATGCAGCCCACCGAGGACATTTATCCAGCCTGCCGGGTGTTTTTGCCCCATTTGTTTTTCTACTTCAAAATAAGATATGTGCAGTGTGCATAGGAATTTGTTCATAGTTGTTTTTTAAACTATAGTCCAGCCCTCCAACCGATCTGAGGGACAGTGCACTGGCCCCTTCTTTAAACATTTTGAGGACAATTTTTCATTCTGAGTTGTAGATATTTTGCTAGGATCCTCATGAGAGTATCAATCAAATCCCCCCCATGCCCCACCCCTTTGTTGTTGTTCAAGTAAAAGTAGATGTGGCTTGGGTTGGGAGGGTTAGGATTAATTGAATTGCTGTACTTATTAAACGATTCCAACGTGTAGATTTCCAGAAGACTTTACGAACCTCTATTTTCAGGGTGTCTATACAAGTTGAATGCAATACAATCATACACATTCTTTAGATGTTTCTTATTGGTGAACGAAAACTTCCACATTCAATAGTCACTTTATATAAAGGCACAGAGGAGATTTTGTGTGAATCTCCTCTCTTTTGTTTAAATCATGTACGGCTGAAAACAAGGTGACATTTTTCTTCGTCAAAATCATCCCTCGGAAAAGAGAGGCACTTTATGCCAAATTCTTTATAAGAATCTTTCATAATATGGGGCACTTACTTTATTTCCAACAAAGTACTGTTGGGGAAGATACGCTAGTCTGAAACAATGTTGATTGTACATTTTGGTCGGTTTTGGAAGCCATTCACTTGGCAACTGAAAACTCAAATGCATCCCCATAGAATCAATTCCAATGCAGAGCAATTCAATATAGGGTTTCTGAAGCTGTAAATCTTTATAGGAGCAGATAACCTCTTCTTTTTCCCCAGGAGCAGCTAGTGGCTTTGAACCACTGACCTTGTGGTTAACAGTTCAATGCTTACCAAACACCTCCTTCATTCACTTGAGAGCCAGTAAAAGAAATAGCAAGGGTTTAAATATGGAGTCAGTAATTACTTTTGCGGGTCTGACCTAACAATTCTAAATGTTAGATGCTGTTGAAAATAAAAACTAAAGTTAGTTATGTTAAAAAAAAAAAGAGGATTTATGTTGTGTCTACTTGAGATAATGAGTGGTAAGCAGGTTTTTTTAGCCGGTGAAAAGATTTCCAGGGATTGCATCACACACAGCTTCTCAAAGTCCTGCATCCCATACCTCTTTAAGTGAATCACAGATGGCAGGTGGTGGGAAACAGGCCATCTGCCTGCAAAGGTGGCACCATTCTGATGTCAAGAAAGCCTGGGTGGGTAAATGGAACTAAAATGACAATATGAGGGTGGGAAAAGAGCAATACTTATAAATACTTATTAAAAAAGTGTAATGTCCACTTTTAAGTATTATTCAGTCCAAATTAGAAAGAGAAAAAAATTAAGACCAAAATGGATATCAGAAAAAGATTTTGAAATTTGTCCTTAAATGTAGGATATTGAAAGCAAATAGAAAAAAATGAGTAAGCAAAAACTGTATAGAAGATTTCAAAAGGTGTCTCGGGATGGCTACATAAAGTATTATAATGAAATGTACAAAGACCTGGAGTTAGAAAACCAAAAAAGAAGCCCCTGTTTGGCAGTTCTTAAGCCAGAAGAATTGAAGAAGAAAAAGATTTAGGCTTAAGATGCAATGTTGAAGGATTCTATGGGCAAAATAGCGAATAGTACAGGGAGCATCCAAAGAAGAAAGAATACACAGAGTAATGGTACCAAAATAATTCGTTGACATTTGAGACCAATGGTACTTATTTGAGGAAGAAAAGTCCAGACTGCACTGAAGGCATCAGCAGAAAAACAAGGCTGTAAGAATTAATGGACTACCAAGTGAGATGCTTCAACATGACTGTAACACTAGAAATGCTCTTTTGTTTCTGCTGTTGACTCATAATCTTATTTGGTCCACTTCTTCCTTTAAAAAATATATATAGTAATTGTCCTACTGGCAATTAAAAACTTTTGTACCAGAGTTCATGATCCAGGATAAAGTGTAGGTATGTTTTTACAGCTCCCCTAGCTACTTTCAGCACTGCCCCCTCCCCAGTAGGTGGTCCTGCCCACTTTAGGAAACATCGATCTATGCCAAGAAATTTGAAGACAACTACTTGACCATTTGACTGGAGTAGATCCATTTATGTGCTTATTCCGAGAGGTGACCCAACAGAATATGGAAGCTGTCATGCAATAATATCACATGCAAATACAATTATGCATAAGAGAATTAAAATTGGCTGCATCAGAGTCAAATTCATAAAAGGATGTGAAACAAGGGATAGCATGGTTCTTGGCTGAAAGCGGAGCACATCTGAAGATGTTTACCTGTATTTGATTGATAATGCAAAGGTATTGGACTGTGTGGATCATAACAAAGTATAGATAACATTCTGAAGAATTGGAAGACGACTCATTAATAATCCGCAATATGCAGATAACACAACCTGGCTTGCTGAAAGTGAATAGCAACATCTGCTGATGAAGATCAAAGACGACAGTCTGTAGTGTCGTTACCACTTCAACACAAGTAAATAATTCTCAGAGATGGAGCAATAAGCCACAGCATAATAAATGGAGGAATTAATTCTGCTTGGATCCACAATCAATGCCAATGGAAACAGCAGTCAAAAAGTTAAATGGCATATTGCATTGAGCAAATCTACTGCAAAAGACCTCCTTAAAGTGTTAAAAGCCAAGCTGTCACTTTGAGGACTAAGGTGCACTCAACCCAAGTTATAATATTTTCAATTGCCTTGTACGACTATGAAAGCTGAACACTAAATAAGGAAAACAACATGATCAAATACCTTTAATGATGGTTTTGGCAAAGAATATTGAATATACCATAAAAATCCAGCTCACTGCTCTCCATCGAGTCAATGCAGACTCCCAGTGACCCAACAGGACAGGGCAGAACTGACCCCGTCACTTTCGAGATTGTCACTCTTTACGGGCATAGAGAGCCCCATCTTT